CCCCAAAACCCCAAAACCCCAAAACCCCAAAACCCCATGGTAGCACAGTTATCGCTTGATTAGTTTAAAGAACAACTTTTATTACTATAATAAAATAAGGATAAAAATGGCAAATTCAATGAATAAATACGAAATATTAGGCATAATTGGAGAGGGAGCATATGGTATCGTATATAAAGCAAAGCACAAAGAAAACGGTGACGTCGGTATTGATAAATTAATTTTCTTTACTCTGATATAGTTGCAATAAAGAAATTCAAAGAGTCGGAGGAAGATGAAATCGTAAAAAAGACTACCTAAAGAGAAGTGAAAATGTTACGATAATTAAAAGAGGCGGATAACATTGTAAAGCTGCTTGAAGTATTTAAAAGGTAAAATTTAAATTGACTTAGAACTGAATTTAATTTAAACTTATTATAGAAAAAATCGACTCTACTTGGTGTTTGAGTATTTTGAAAAAAATTTATTGGAAATTCTAGAGGAGAGGCCAAATGGACTGGCACCGGAAGCTGTTCGAAAATACATTTATCAGCTCCTCAAAGCTATTGAGTTTTGCCATAAAAATAATGTCATTCATAGAGACATTAAACCTGAAAACTTGCTTATTAACCCGTATGATATACTCTTAATTCAAAGCTTATTAGAGTTAATCATGATTTGAAAATTTGTGATTTTGGCTTTGCAAGAGTTTTAAATTAACGAGGAGGAGATTTGACTGATTATGTAGCTACTAGATGGTATCGAGCACCAGAATTATTACTCAGCAACAATTATGGAAAGGAAGTTGATATCTGGGCAATAGGGTGTATAATGGGAGAGATAACTGATGGTGACGCATTGTTCCCAGGAGAATCAGAAATAGATTAGCTCTTTTGTATATAAAAAGTACTCGGTCCTCTAACCCCTCACCAGCAAGAACTATTTAACACAAATCCAAGATTTATAGGATACAAATTCCCTAACAATATCAGTAATCCTGAAACTCTTGAAAAGAAATACGTTGGAAAGTTGTCATCAAAGGCTTTATCATTAATGAACGGAATGCTGAAGATGGATCCAGAGGATAGATTTTCTGCAATGGAATGCTTAGCCCATCCATATTTTGATGGAATCAGAGAACCTGAAGTAGAAAAAATGATCTCCGCTTTTTAAGCTGGAGTTAAAAGAGATACATCAAAAAGTCGGGGAAGTCTGAGGATAGGGATTACTAATAATGATCCAAGAAGCGTCGATGCTAGAAATAAAACTAATTATGGTAATAAGTTTATGATAAAGGATATTATAGGCTAAAATTAAAATTCAATCCTTCAAAGTAAGTTTCAGTTTAAATTGATAAAAATATAGAGCCAGTTGATGTTACTAAATAAGGCAGTAAGCTTAGTTAAAGTACTGGGTCAAGTGTACCAAAAACAGTAAATAAATAAACATTTTATAAATTTTTAATAGGATATCAGAAAAAATTCGGTTACAAATACGCAATCCTAGTAGTAGAGTTCTTTATAGTAAACATAGTAAAATCAAAATTCATCACAGACTAGACAAGGAACAGGGGCTGTATCAGGAAACTTTAACTCAAACAACTTTAAAAAGCCGTCCATTCAAAATTCATTCAATGATGGCAAACTTGCAAAAAATAACTTCATGCCATCCTAGAATATTTCTAATTTTTTACTGAACAAAGGTTCTAGTGGAAATCTCAAAACATTTGATAACGAATACAGCTACAATATCAATCTAGAAAACTTAGGTGGACCATAATAGCAGACAAGAGGTTAAGTCCAGATGAATAAGAATTAAATATTCTCTGAAGTTGTTGAAGAGGAAGAATTTGACGATCCAAATCATGGTCTCTCAGTAGGAAACAATGCTTCTACCATTTCAAAGAGACTCCCACCCACGAATAATGTATAGAATAAAAATATGATCTTAAACGAACTCTAGACCAACCAAAACCTCATGAAAAAGAACAATCACAATGCTGATTTCTAGGTAAATAGCAGCAAAGATAACACATATTCTCCTCCTCCAAAGTAAGTCTTAATTTTTATTCATATTATAGTAAATTCTTGGGTAAAAATTAAGGTATCATTTCTCAATAGTCCTCACTATAACAGCCACAGTAAAATTTGAATCCTATTGTTAAGCCTAAAAAGAAGAAGATCTTTTAGCAAGCTGATTTTGCTGGCAATGCAATCATTATAAGAGAAAATGACGAGGGAGTAATTGGGGGTAAAGATGAAGATGATGGTGCATATGACCAAAATCCAACTGCTTTTGAAAAGCCAAGTCCAAAAGGATAAATATAACCTAGTGCCAATGTTAATGGAATGTTTAGTTTTCAGGGTAAATTAACCAAAAAGAAGTTGAATGCAGGTGCTAATGTTGCTGTTAAGAATCAAACCAAAGAAGAGTTATATGGCCTTAAAGATAGTTCAATGCCAGGGAATGCTCAAAATAGCCAGCAGTTTATTGGGCGATCAGCCAACCCTACTTAATTAACAGGGTTCATCAAACCAAGTACCAATCAATACGGATTGGTAGCAGCAGGAGCATTTAGTAATGGCAACCCTGGCTAAGATGAAAATTACAACTATAGCATTCCATCAGAGGTCTTTTACTCTGCTCAAAATCTCCAAAATAACAACCATTGACATTAAAACTAAAAGTAATTACAAGAGAAAGAAATTTGAAAAATTATTTCTAGGTTATGATTTAACTATCATGGTGAGTTTATATTTCATTTTCCAATTTATAAGAAGCTACAATCATCATAGCTTTAATTATCATCTTGCGGGGTTTTGGGGTTTTGGGGTTTTGGGG